ATATTATAATCATTTAATGTTATTAAAGGTAAAAAAACAAAATTGAAATTTATTAGATAAATATTAATTAAAAAAATAAAAATGGATAAATTTGTCAATAAGATTAAAAAATTCTAATCCGCTAATGGTTTGGTACAAAAAGCTACATAAACTAGTGTTTTCAATCCGCTAGTAGTTTGGACTCTAACCGCTATTTGCTAGTCTCAAACCGCTAAATAAAAATTTTACCAAACATTTTATTTGTAGTGGTTTCAAAATATATAAATTTACCAAACAAATATAGCAGTTTAGATAAAATCGCTAACCGCTACCCCAAAATCGCTACACTAAACAGGCCTAAATGTAAGTTCGGTACTCTTCAGGCTTTACATGCAAGCCCAGTACTCTTCAAGCCTTAAATGCAGGCTTGGTACTTTTCAAGTCCTTAAATGCAGGCCCGATACTCTTCAAGTCATATTAAGTGTGCGTTTCTTAAGACAGAATTTGACTTTGATATTATGTTGAAAACTGTGCATGTGGACTCAATGCAAGACTTACATTCAACCTAAAATCAATTGATAATAGGTGGAGTGATATTTTTTATTTTTAATCCACAAATTTTTTACTTTAATATTCGATTTGAGATTTTTCTACTTTAACAGATTTTAGCTTCAAAAAGCATTTTGTTGACGAGAGAGGATTTTTTTCTCTTTCGAAGAAAACAAAAAACTCAATTCTGGATCGGGTTTAAATCTCGGGTCCCCTAATTTATTTGATCGGGTTGGGATAAAATGGAACCATCGGGCCCATATATATCTACTAGACTACTTTGAGTGTAGAGTCCAAAACTTTGTTTTTTGTTGTCGAGTTCAATTGGGCCAGCCTATTTCCCTTCAAGGGCTGCTTCTAATTTTGAAGTGAGTGAAGCTAATATGTCCAAGTTAATATATTTTGAAAGCTGATAGAAAAAAAAGTGGAGAAACTACTATTTTTATTTTTTAAAATTTTTTAAGACATTTATTTAATTTTTTAAATTCTTGCCTAATCTTCTGAATTTTTTAAAATTTTAAAAAAATAAAAATAAAAAATGGTGCACAAATCACCAAGGCTCCCAAGGCTGCGCCCATGCTCTGGGCAGAGGCATGTCACCTTATGGCGCCTAGCGCCTTCTACAACAATACTTATAGTGACAATACTCCAGGAAAACCCACCAGCCTTAAGTTGTTGGATTTTTTGTATGGTCGGCTTTAGGGGTGGCAATTTCCCCCGATCCCCGCGGGGCGCTGCGGGGATCCCCGTCACGGGGACGGGGCGGGGAGGAATATTCCTCCCCGCGGGGCGGGGATGGAGGGCATTTTGTCCCCGCGAAATTTCGCGGGGAATTTTCCCCGCCCTGTAGGGCCCCGCGAGGATCCCCATCCCCGTGAAAAAATAAAAAAAATAATTTAAATTTAATTTAATATTTAAAATAAAATTCAAACATAACCCAAACCCAATTCAATAAAAATTAAATTTTACCCAACCCAACCCAATCTAACCCAACCCAAGTATCAACCCAATCTAACCCAACCCAAGTATCAACCCAACCAGCCACCCCATCCGGCCAACCCAACAATCTAGCATCCTCCTTACAATTTCCAACCCTAATTAATCCCCCTTCCAACCCTAATTTCATAACTTTATTCATTTCCCCTCCTTTTCTCCTCACTCACGCACGCAGCCACAACCCCTCACTCACTCTTGGTTTCAGCCGGACAATCAAGCTCTCAAGTCTCACCTCACCTTCAACCTTCCTCTCCCCTTCTTGCTGCTACAGATCTACTACAGGTCTACTGTTGGAGCTGCGACAAATATGCTGCTGGAGCTGTTACAGATCTGCTCCTAGAGCTGCTGTCAAAGCTGTTAGCTGCAGCCTGCAGATCTGCTGGAGTTCATCCTGCTGCCTGTGCCGAACTCCTTCTCTGCTCTTGCTGCCTGTTACGTCCTCTCAGTTGCAGGTAGGTTACGTTGTTCAGTTGACTCAATACATCTGCAATGTCAATGGCCGTAATACGAATCTCCTTCCACCAGGTCCGTTGGGTCTTCCCTTCATCGGTAACTTGCACCAGCTCGATAATTCATCACCTCACATTTACCTCTATCAACTTTCCCAAAAATACGGTCCCCTCATGTCTCTTAAACTTGGGTTTCGCCAAACTCTCGTAGTCTCTTCCGCAAAAATGGCTAAAGAAGTCCTGAAAACCCATGAAATCGATTTCTGCAGCAGGCCTGCTCTGTTTGGCCTTCAAAAGCTATCCTACAATGGCTTAGACTTGGCTTTCACCCCTTACCGTTCTTACTGGAAGGAAATTCGAAAAGTATGTGTAACCCATCTCTTTAACCCCACATTTTACTGCCATTGACTCTGTGTTCCAATTTATTCTTTTTTTTTTTTCTTATTGCGAAGTGGATTCTTGGTTTGGGTAGTTATCTTCTGAAAGGTTGGTCTTTTAATTTCGTTTTGTTGCCTCAGTCTTGCTAATGTAAAGTATGTGCGGATATAAATTAGGGCTCCATGAATTTTGTCACTCTATTGTGATAGAAAAAACGAACCTTGTGCTAATAGATTCCCATACTTAGGCTTTCAAATTAGGTGGTAGGTTTATTGTGATTTTTCAATTGTTGCGGGTTAAGGGTTTCCATCTCTTTATATTTTGTAAATTGAAATAGTGTTAGCAGTGTGGTCTTAGTGGAATTGCTATGGTTGTTTTGCTATGTTGCCTGCAAATAGTCAATTGAATGCATAGTTTGTGGTAAATTTGTTGATCTAAGACAGGCTTTTTGAAGATGCTCATGGCTAATGTTTTCTTGTGATCATATCCATTGTTGCTTCAGAATCGGCGAATAGCAATTGTGGATTTTGAGAGCTAAAGTGTTTTGAGTTGGTTCTTGGCTGCTTCCCTTCATGTTGAATGTTGGTTTAGTTTAGTTATTTTATTTATGTTAGGTTGATTTTTGCTTATATTTGGAACAAGTATGTTGCTTTATGTTGGATTAATTTCTATATATATTTGGAACAACTTATGTTTGGAACATGTTGCTTTATGTTGGATTAATCTCTATTTGGAACAATTTTGTTGATTTAATTATTTGTGTTAAATTAATTTTTATTTATGTTTGATGCAAAAAATATATACTTTGTTATTAATTGGTGGGGCGGGATCCCCATTCCCCGCGGGGAACGGGGATGGGGGGCAAAATCTGCCCCCCGGCAAAAATCCCCGCGGGGATCCCCGTCCCCGCCATTCGCGGGGACCTCCCCGTCCCCGCGGGGCCTCGTTGACATCCCTAGTCGGCTTGGAACTTCCTTAATAGCTGCAGAGACTGATGATAGAGATTGAGATCAATACCATCAATATTTTTTTTCGGTTTCTCATCCGGTATCCGAGGTTTCACCCCGACTAATCCGGATCCGATCCGGGTCACGCACCTGAAAATGGTGGGTGAGTTTCCCATCAATACTTCTACCAACATAAGCCTGCAAGATAGTTTGAAATAGAAAATAACAACATACTGTATTAAC